GCAATATCACGACAGTACTTGGGCAAACTTGGTAGATTATTAACCGTCTCTTATACACCAATTGTTCGAATAAACTCTTATAGATAACAGCGTCTGTTGGCTTCTTTCCATTTACAGATTTGCTTTTTAACATTAAAAACTGAGGCTCGCGACCTAATTAAGAAAATACACCCCCTGTCCAAGAAGCCACGGGGGCGGGATTAGGTGGTACCGATTTTGACAGTCCATACCCTCAATATCCATGACTCCAACAGCAAAAAGAAAAATCAAACTTAGTACTCAGCCTCCATCTCCTCGTTCTCGAGAGAGTCGGCAGCAACCTCCTCGTAATCACGCTCCAGGGCAGCGAGATCCTCACGGGCCTCGGAGAATTCACCTTCCTCCATACCCTCACCAACGTACCAGTGGACGAAGGCACGCTTGGAGTGCATGAGATCGAACTTGAGGGACAGGGATGACCAGGCCTCGGCGATGGCGGTGGTGTTGGACAGCATGCAGCTACAACAATGTTAGATTAGGGTCAACTTGTACACTTTGACAGGGAAACTTACACAGCACGGTTGACCTTGGCGAGGTCGCCGTTGGGGACGTTCTCGGGAGCCTGGTAGCAGATACCGAGCTTGAAACCAGTGGGGCACCAGTCGACGAACTGGATGGTGCGCTTGGTCTTGAGGGTGGCGACGGCGTTGTGGGCGTCGTTGGGGACGACATCACCACGGTACAGCAGACAGGTGGCCATGTACTTGCCGTTGCGGGGGTCGCACTTGACCATCTGGTTGTTGGGCTCGAAGCAAGACATGGTCATCTCCTGGACGGAGTTGGCCTCGTGGGCGGCCTTGGCAGCAGAGATGACGGGAGCGTAAGCGACCAGAGGGAAGTGAATACGAGGGTAGGGGACCAGGTTGGTCTGGAACTCGTTGAGATCAACGTTGAGAGAACCATCGAAACGCAGGGAAGCGGTGATGGAAGAAACGACTGCATCAATGTTAGCGTGCTTGCTCTTTTCAAATTTCAAATTTCAAATCTCTCAATCGGATCCAACTTACCCTGAGCAATCAGGCGGTTAAGGTTCTCGTAGTTTGGGCGCTCGAGGCCGAGGTTGCGGCGGCAGATGTCGTAAATGGCCTCGTTGTCGACCATGAAGGAGCAGTCGGAGTGCTCCAAAGTAGTGTGGGTGGTCAAGATTGAGTTGTAGGGCTCGACAACAGAGGTGGCAGTCTGGGGAGCAGGGTAGACGCAGAACTCGAGCTTGCTCTTCTTGCCGTAGTCGACGGACAGACGCTCCATCAGGAGAGCTCCGAAACCAGAGCCGGTACCACCACCGAAGGAGTGGAAGACGAGGAAGCCCTGGAGACCAACGCAGTTGTCGGCAACACGTCGGATCTTGTCGAGAACGCCCTCAATCAGCTCCTTGCCGACTGTGTAGTGACCACGGGCGTAGTTGTTGGAAGCATCCTCCTTGCCGGTGATCATCATCTCCGGGTGGAAAAGGTTGCGGTAGGTACCGGTTCGGACCTCGTCGACGACATTGGGCTCCAAGTCGCAGTAGATGGCACGGGGAACGTACTTGCCCTGGCCTGTTGGAAGCGGGTTAGAGGTGATATGTTCCTGACGGCTGGCGAAAACACGGTATTCGTGAACATACCAGTCTCGGAGAAGAAGGTGCTGAAACCCTGATCGGGGTCCTGAGCCTTGCGCTCCTCAGTGAGGTAACCATCGGGCTGTAGAGCAGAGAAAAAGAGACGTTTGTTAGCTTCGTGTTTTTGGTGCGTGTGCGAGAGAATTGTAATCATTGGCTCAAAGGCCGTAGAACGGGGTGGTGATGTACCTGGATACCGTGCTCGAGGCAGTAAAGCTGGAGAGAGAGAAAACGTTAGCCAAGATGCCCAAGAAACAACAACAGAGCACGGTTGCCAATGGCAGAGCAACTCACCTCCCAGCAGGAATTGGCAATCTGGCAACCAGCCTGGCCGACTATCCTCCAAAAGTTAGCATCGTCAGTCAAACTCGTGGCTTTGGGCGCCCACGATGCGGTGAAGCGACGCGTTTGTTTGGTGGGGAGAGGGGGGCCTAAAGGGGCTTCCCCTCGGGTCGAGCTAGCACGCACCGTTGATGCTGATAACCTCACGCATGGTGAATGCTGTTTCTGTGATGTGATGACGGTTGAGACGATGTAGTAGGAATAGGGAATGAGTGCAAGATTGAGCCCGGGGAAAGCAAAAGAAAAAAGGCTTTTATTACGGGGTTCCAGAGGGAAGAGGTGAAAAGGACAGGAGGATGGAGAACTTGCAGCTGGTTCGTAGAAACGAGGTGGGGGGGAAATTTGGACGGACAGGGGGGCAGCACCAGGAAGAGTGCAGAGGAGGAGGGGAGGTTTGTTGACTTTTTTCTGCTGGCCGGGGGTCCAGGCGTGGCTGGAAGAGGTAAGCGCGTCTGCGAGTTGAACCCCCTGGTCGCCTCACCGCTCTAGGCGGGCAGCGGATTATTACAGCAGTATATTGCCGAGATTAGAACTGGCAGAACTGAAGCTATTCTGTGTTCTAACACGGGTGCTCTATCACAAAGAAACAGACAGCGCTGAATTATTGCTAGTTGACACGTAAATGCAAATGTAAACAACGTACGGATAGTAGCTATCGCGAGTGTAAACACTACTGGGCGGCTAATAGGTCACCAAGCAAGCTAACACCAGACAGCTTGGGTGCCACAGCTCAGTACCTGAAGACAGACAGCTCTGTGCCTGTTGGCAAAAGGCACGGCTCAGCAGCGTGGTGCCCAAAAGGGGGTCTAGGGAGGTACTGTGTACATTGGAGTCTGTATGCCGGATGGCCGATGGGTGACATCTGAACAATACAGGTTCAACCACCAGCCAATAGCTAGGTCATATCTAGTGATGAAGAGCCATTGCACTGCTTGGACTGCTCCAACATCTTTACATAGACTCTCAAACACTCATACTAGCATCCATCTGCTCTGCATCGCCATGTGCACCACAGCGTGCACGCGTCTCACTAGTCCAGCCAGCCAGCCGCCACGACTTGCCACCATCGCCGCCTAACCAAAAGCCGGGTAGCGGGCGATCGAATCCAGGAGCTGGCTTGATCAAGCACAGGTACCGTGTACTCTGTACATGCGCGGAGTTAGCCCCTCCCTCGCAGCTGTCCTGAGCAGGGCCCGCTGAGCACCGCTATCGCCTCAATTACCAAGCAGAGCGGGTAGAGAAGAGCGAATGCGACTACGAAGTGCCTTCTGGTATCAGAATCAACATCACTGGGAGGCAACATCTTGTACCATAAGGGAGCTTTCAACAGTATCAATACCAGATACAAATACGACACAAATGAGAGAAATGCAGTCATTTTGTTTTTTTCTTCCACAATCGTACCGTTTGTCTTATCCAACATCCCACATCTCCATCCTGTATCCTCTCCTTTTCCTAGATACTCCTGCTTGGCCAGCCCACTCCCGTCTCGGAACGCTATTGATTAATGCCTGTAGCCATATTACTAACTGCACGCAAACACACAAAGGAAGGCGCCAATATGTGCCGTCATGTCTGCTTCTAAATAAATAGCACCGCATCCACCGGCTTCCCCCTTAGCCTCTCCTCTCCCAATATCGTCACATCCCCCTATAAAGTCTTCTCCCAGTCCTCTGGTTAACTCGCTGAAAGTCCCCCGTCCCTTTACGACCAGGGCCCTCCCGAATCGATGGGTTCGCTCAGACTTGCCAGCACAGCTCTCCACTGTAAATGCGGCCAAGTGCTCTGTGCTGGCCCGGCCATGGACCGTGACAGGGAAGCCCCATAATGTCATTGCTAGCCTCCTGACGCCCCGGCGATCGCTGTGGTGTGTTATTGCGACTACATTGAGCTTGAGACGTGCTATTTCTTGCTCACTATTCATTGCCACTGGTCAAAAATGCTCATAGTACCTATCACTACTAGTGTAAGACCTACAAGTATGAATAGTATCTGTGAAGGAAATGTCTACCAAAAGCAAATCATCCACCCGATAACGTGCGATACATATACCTACTAGGGAAAGGAATTTCCAGAAGCCCATCGGAACGATATTGGGACCAGGATAAGCAGGTCGGCTAGGCCCTTTACGACCCCATGCCATTTGACAGGAAAAGGAGTACATACCCAGATGTCATTGTTCATTTTACCCGGAATTGTGCATCAGCGTAACACCGATTGCACAAAGGAGTTTCCCAGTCCCGTGATGAGTTCGAGATGCTTGGCGAAAAGGCTGAGATAACATCCATGGCTACTCAAGTATTAATTTGGCAGTGATAGTCATCCAAAGCCAACTTTCCCATAACACTAGCTAGCCCGCTTAATCCGCCCTTGCAAGAGTTTGATGCTGCAGCTGAATTAGCAGACTGACAGAGTCTTCGTAAGAAAGCATCGCGGGCCGATTTTAAACTTGACTTTTCTGTCAAAACATTGTGGATTTGGCATTTTCATCGCAAAGAATACTACTGACTTCTTGGGGGAATTGAGCAACATTGTTTTTTAAGCTTCCCTGAGCTGTCGTTGGAATTAGGTTTTATTCTCGAGCTGCATGTCCCAACATGTTGTATAGCTCCAGATAACTCAATGCCATTAGATGTCTCAGTAAAGTATCAGTTATAATTCCAAAATATTATGAAGATAGTTAACGGACTTTCTCGAGAGCTTCATCGCTTTTCGTGATAATCTTGGACTTTTGACCCTTCGTCATAGGGTACCCTGGGTACATACACCACCGCTAGCAACGACGGCCAGCCAATAGCAAGCGCGCGCTGCCGCCACTATCCAGATCTCGTAACCACAGTTTCGCGATCCATCGAATGGCATCTGCACCTCAGCTTGACCATGGCTAGCTAATTGAGCTCTAAATCAACACTCCAATCTCAAAAATCTTCATCTGAACAGCCTCAATTGAGAAAAGCTCATTCATCCTCTCAGACAACGAATTGCAGCTCCGCAAAAAGAATCACAGCACGCCAAAGCAATGCCCTCCCTCAAGCCACCTCAACGCCGCCATCCTCACCATTCCTCCTCCATCCTCCTCCTCCTTCTCCCACTCTTCTCTCTCCTCTCACCAATTCACGCCAACACCGAAAAAGCAATCTTCACTGCCCCTGAACCCATCACGCTATCCAATATCCCTTCAGCACTAGAAGGCCAGAATATTCCCATCCTCGGTCCATCCACCCGTTGGTCTATACGCACCAACCTCACTCGCGTCTTTCCCCTCTCTCAGGAGGAAACAGAAGAAGAAGAGCAAGAGCAAGGATATCCATCATGGCTGCTCCTCGATAATCTCACGCCAGGGCAGCGCTATGAGCTTCGCGTTTGCTGGTCCGCACTTGTAAGTTACCATAAGCCCGTATTATGTACCACACACGCACACACACACACACACACACACACACACATATATATGGCCACCTTCCATCTCCATCTTCATCACAAACTACTTTCATAAAGCAAAATAAAAAGTTTATCATATACTCACATCTTCAAGCAACCAACTACCTTCACCCTAGACACCTACACCCTCTCCACCATCTTCTCAACGCCATCCCTCCTACAATCTCTCACCCAACACACCACAACCTCGACCCAAGAGCAAATCATCGACGAAGAAACAGAAACCCATCAACAAAAATCATCAAACCACTCCCTAACAGCAGCAGATGGCTCTTCCGTCCTTTTATTGCGCGTCCTCGCCGCAGCAGACTACTTCTCGCACCACTCATCGCTTATGAAGGATCCTCCCCCGGTACTGGTCGATCTCATCCTGGACCCATATCTTTACAACGTCTTGCCTCAGTCTTTGGTCCCGACAGTGGGATATATTGTCGTCATTAGCATCGTTTCATGGTTTGCAGCGCGCTGGGTCTCTAGTTCTTTGGTTTATGTTGCCAGCTCTGGCGATAATGATCAGGTAAAGAAGCAGAATTAAGCAGATGAAATGTCTAATAAAAATATTGATGACAATAATAATATTATCTAATAACAAAGAAAATAATAATCAAGATGCTTCCCCTGTATAGTACAAAGACTTTAATCTTGTCTCTCATCAGCCTCCGAGTCCTCGGCAGCAAATTCTTACTCAATTCCACTGTCACATATTAGATAGGTAGTTGACATGCTCGCTTTAAACACATCACAACATGATCTGTCCTATATATGGTTGCCAGCGCGAGGGTTAAAAAAAAAACATGAATATAGAAAACAAGCACCGAATATGCCTCCCTATCTACACAGATGCTACCAAAATTCTACTACTTAGTGCGCCCGTACCATGTGTTATTTTTCATGTCCATCGCTTCTCCTATCACACTGCCACATGCGTACGGGAAATTATAGATCCAACATTCTGTTGGCCAACAAAGGGCGCTAGTCAATCACGGAAAATATTCATTCTCGTTTGAGAACCCCAGTCAATGGATCAGCTCAAAGATGTATGCCTATTCTCAATGCGAGAACAAAGGTAAGGGGCTTCTTAGTAGCCACTGCCGTATCCTCCGTGGCTTGGGTGGCTGCCATGGGGCACAGGAGGAGCGCCGTGTTGGTGAGAAGCACCTGATTGATGAGGAGCACCTGGCTGGTAAGGTTGCTGGCCATACTGCTGCTGACCACTCGGCGTACCATATGATGGGTTGTAACCTCCGCTGCCGGGCGGAGGAGGATATTGCTGGTGTTGTCCGGGCGGAGGAGGATACTGCTGTTGCTGTCCGGGAGGCGGGGGGTATTGTTGGTGCTGGTGCTGTCCCGGAGGAGGAGGGAATTGCGGCGACTGTTGGCCTTGTGGCTGGTATGGCGGATGGCCACCCGGCGTTGTACCGCCGTAATTCTGTTGATGTTGTCCTCCAGGAGGGGCTCCATAGCCTGGCTGGTGTTGTCCTGGTGGAGCTCCATAGTTGGGCTGATGTCCACCATGCTGTCCGCCTGGTGAGGGAGCACCGTAGCCTTGCTGGTGAGAAGGGGAGCCATAAGAGGGCTGCTGCGGTGTATAGCCGCCACCTCCATGCTGTTGTGAGTGCTGGTCGTGCGATCCGCCGTATGGACTGGGAGGCTGATTATGCGAGTATGATTGGTTGCCACCGTATGACTGCTGTCCATAATTTTGGCCGCCAGGTGGTCCTCCAGGAGGAGGTGGAGGGTACGAGTTATTGTGGCCAGAAGGAGGACTCTGGTGAGAGCCCGTGTGCGATGTCGAGGACGTTGCCGCGTGACCAGACCCATGAGTAGACCCTGGAGGATTGTAGGTCGGTGCTGAGCCAGAGTATGCGTTACCGCCCGATCCTGAATTCGAGTAGCCAAAGCTCGAGTTTTGCTGTATGTCGTAAATCATCTCTAGTCAGCATTTCTCTTCCATCATTGCCCCGAGTCCAGCATGTCGGGAAACGTAATGATTTGCTTACACCGTGACTTGGTTTGTCCCCGCCAAATAGGCCACCCACCACACCAGCCAGACCGCTTGAATGTTGCGATCCGCCGCCTGAGGAGCCGCCTTGACCTTGGTGGTAGTTTTGAGACTGTGAAGGTTTGCCAGAGGACGAGAACAAGTTCGACGCCAGCTGTCCAACCAGTTTTCCGGCAATAGAGTCTTTACCACCGCCGCTACCGGAAGATCCTCCGCTGCCCCCATGGGAGCCACCGCCGAGGAACTGAGCAGCTAGGCCGCCCAGGGGGTTTCCACCGCTGCCACCACTACTCGAACTTTTGCCGCCCGTAAGTGCGTTCAAGGCCATAGACTGAAACACAATTAAAAATACTCGTCAGCATGTATGGTCTCAGATACCCTAGCTTTACGTGAAAGAGGGCGGCCAAAGAGATCTGCTTACCCCAAGTCCACGCTCGCCAGCTGGGCCATCAGGCAGGATGGGCTCCATGGTTCCATCCGAGTGCTTTATGGTCTGCGAGCCGTCCGGGTGCGTGATGACCTGAGGCGCGGGTGAGCCGTAAGGATGCTCTGCGCCGGGAATCGGAGTGCCTGTCTGGACAGGATCGGTGGGAATATCCCACTGAGAAACACCAGTGGCCAGCTGGACGTAGTAGTACTTTCTGCTGGAACCATCCCACTGCGCGATCCAACCAGCGGGCAGGCTTGGAGGCGCAAAGGTAGGGCCCTCGGCGCCTGGAGTCGAAGTGCCCGGCATCTTTTGGTTTCGCTGAGCGAGCAAAGTATTTGTTTCTTTCCCCGCCTCGCTTGTACTGCCCAGGTGTGGGTGGTTCGAGAAGTGGCCGTGCGGTCTGGAGAGCCGTTCGCGGGGGAGGGGAGACGATGGTTGTCAGGCTTGCAAGAAGCAAGGGCCCCCCGTTGGAAAGAAAAGGGAAAACGAAGCAAAAAAGAACCAAATTAAGACGAGAGCAAAGAAGCGAAGAGAAGGAGGAAGAGGAGAGAGAAAAGAGAGGGGCGGCGAGACTAGAAAAAGAGAGGAGAGGGAGGGAACGAAAGATGGATGGCGAGTTTGCGATTGTCACCCAGAGACGCTGCTAAGTCAGCTGCAAAGCGTTAGCCGCAGGCCTTTGAAGACTTGGAAGCACAAAATCGACAGGTGGGGTCCGATGAGCGCCTATTTGGCCTGCTGGCGCCGGCCACCTGGAGATTGTTCAACAAAGGCCGGGGATGAAGAGATGGATAAGTAAGAATGGAGACTTTGGTCTGTTCTTGGGGCGATTCGAGCCCAATGAGTCACGCAAGGCGAGCGTTTATCCTGTTTATCCTGGTGTCGGGCATTGTGCGTATATCATGCGTAGCACTCTACATGCCCACTATTACATGTACTGCTAGGCATGGTGCCTGGATACGGCAAATAAGCCACCGCCAGGTAGTCAGGGACATGGATGCGGATGACTATAGAACTCTAAAGAGATTTAGGCTGCTCTGTACAAGAAATGCGCGGAAGAACCTCTGAGCACGCAAGCTGTGAAAGCAATGATCAAAGCAGGCAGTACCTATAGTACTGAGATATTGGGACGTAGTGGTCCGAGAACGGGTTTATTCTTCAGCCTGGTAGCGGGTACCGCTGCTGCCCAATGACCAACCCCCGAGCCTCAAGTACACGCTACTCGGAACCTCTTCCGGCGTCAAGTGCTCTCAGCGGCTCTGCCATTGACGATAATCTCATGAACAACTTGAAGGCACCAGACCTGTAAGCATAGCCCCCAAACCCTCCACCCATTGAGAATCGCCAACGCCGCTCCTTCAGCTGGGTTTGGGTGGCGCAGTGGCCCTGCGGCCCTCGAACAGGCGCCTTTTCCCCCTTATTTTCTTCTTTCTTTGTTATCTGTTGGGTTGTCTGTTAGTATTACCCGAACTCTCTAAACGGCACCAGGTTCATGTTGCCTCTCACGTGATGCTTCCGCTGGCGGCCTCACAGATTCATCAGCAAGCGTGGCTTTGACTCCCTTGTACTCAATCACAGCACGTGCCTTCACTGAGAAAACAGTATCAAGTCAATATGTCTAAAAATCATGGAAATCTTATTTTATGCTTAGCCCTTCAAAGGTCAATAGGTAGTAGGTATCTTGTTTCATCCAATACAGCGTCATGTGTTCCCTCCATTGGATTTCCAAATGCTCATTTTCTCTTTGACCCCAAGCAAGGAAAGAAAGGACAAAAATAACGGGCAAAATAACAGCGTCACTCTTCCAACGGCTGCCAGCAACCGCTATGAAAAGAACGAGAAATGAATGAATGAATGAATGAATGAATGAATGAAATGGTGATTGAATGAGTGAGCAAACTCAAAAGTTGTTCAGCAAAGAAGAAAGTGTACAAGAATGAGAGAATATAGTTGGTGTAGTCATAAGATGGCGCGGCTGCTTGGTTCAGTGGCAGTTGCAATTTCTTTTCTCAACCTATCCGAGGAGACACCCGCTTTCCACGGCGGTGATCAGAGACGAAACGGCGTCTTCGGACAAAGCCTGGGCTGCTTCGCTTCTGGGCCGACACAAAGGTATCGGCCAATCCGGGCTTACATGGATTTCCCAGAGCCACGGGCATAGTGACGGACCAAAGTCCAGCAGCACATCGCTGGTATGCCTGTCCGTCAGGCTGGCAGTTATACTGACCCTCTTTGGAGCACTTTGATCCCGCGGTCGTCGAAGTGTTTGTAGGGGCTGTGCCGTTGGAAAAACCGTAGGGGTTTGAAGGACTGAGAGGACTGGAACTGCTGCTGCCAGCTGTAGGCTGAGGAGGCTGAGGCATGGCAGCCGTCGAAGAGGCTGGCACTGAAGTTTCAACCGAAGATTCAGGAGCTGTTGGTTCTGCCGAGAGCGCAGTGATGAAAACACCACCCGGAGGCTGGGAAATAGAAGCAGAGGTCGGAGCTGCAGCTGGAGCTGACGTTGTAGTAGACTGAGTAACCTCTCTGTCGCTGGTTGCTTTGTTAGTATATAACTACCTATTACTTACGAAGAATGGAGATTAGGTACATTATCTGCATACGGCCATGGGCAGCCGTGGCCAGTCCGAGGGCGACGGCAGCAACAATATTGAAGAATCTCATGATGGCTGGTGGCGGTGGTTGGTTGGGTGATGGTATATGACGAACGAATATTTATTTCAGAATAAGAATGAGTAATAATGATGGCTTGTAGCAGCAGGTACCTGACGGCTGTCGACGGTTTGTTCTGTTTGCAACGGAACGATTCTTTCTTGGAGCAGAGAGAGATATATATGCGTTTATATGCGTATGCAGATTCAAGCCCAGCCCGAATCAATGTGATAATCGAACTTGAGCGACGAAAAGGAAAATATGGAAGAAGAGGAAGCAGGAGTCAAGTATTAATAGATGAAGTCGATTGGGAAAAGTGGAATAAGTGAACAGAGTACTGAGTCGCAAGTCAAAATAGAACAAAAGGTACGGTACATATGGAGTCGAGACGTGGGACTTGCCTTTGTGAGTTTAACATGGGAGAGACCCGGATTTGAACAGCTATGTCAGAGAAAATAAGACCAGAGCTAGAGAAAAAATGGGAGACGTGAAAGGGAAATAGAAATTGAACAACCATAAAGCTGTTAACCTGATAAAAGAAAATCCACGAGACAACCTGCGAACAGCCATCGAGGAGGTGATCCACCTCTCTTTATACACTGCCGTGCATTATTTGTCAACTAACTGAAACAGAGCAAGAGACAAGTCTCATCGATTATCCTGTTCAAACTACATACATACCTACACGCCCCAGGGGCGTTTCTGGACAGAGGCCGGTAAGGCATTACTCCTTTAGTAAGTCCTCTGGAAGCCTTTTGAAGGCGCTTAAAGATTTCCTAAGCCCATGAAAGGCACTAAAAGATGGGAGAAATCATCCAGCACCCCAGTTTCATTGTCCAACGCCCCAGCTATAGCTCAATAAGGCAACCAATCCACACCAATACTAATAAATTACATAACTACTAAACACACTGGAAAAAAGCAGCGGTAGCAGCAGTAGCAGCAGTAGCAGCAGTAGCAGCAGTAGCAGCAGTAGCAGCAGTAGCAGCAGTAGCAGCAGTAGCAGCAGTAGCAGCAGTAGCAGCAGTAGCAGCAGTAGCAGCAGTAGCAGCAG